CTTAGTAAGAAGGAATTAATTGGCTTCTCAAATCCTGGTCGTTGAAAGCGGTGCCATATGTCAGAGGAGAAAATACTTGCCAATTGCCCCAAAATGACAGGTTCTGGATAGATTTTTCTTAGGTATGTATCTGTATATAGTATACCTAAATGTGCTCATGCATGACTATGAATTGTTAAGATTTTTGCTCAAAGAGGACAATGAAATGACTTATAAATTCTTAAACTGATGCTTCTACCACTCCCGTGCCTGCTGCAGGAGTATTGGGGTCTACCCAGTTGCTAATGAAGTTAAATTAATTTCAAAGTCAACCCTGGATTAGCTCTGTAGGTTTGTTTCCAAACCATGCAATTGGGCTTGGCATCCATATGTTAATACCTGGGCCTATCAAGGTAACAGGATATTTTATCATGAATCTCGGTTATGCTTTAAATGAGAGCACTAACTCATTTACACAGCAGACCAAAAGGAGAATTTTCTTTCACTGTGTTTTCTTCTTACACATCTGATTTATCCTGCCCTAAATGACAATGCTTTTGACCTCCTTAAGATTTGTATGTTATGTTGTAAGCACAGATAAATTACAGTAGATTTTGAAACTTTTCATCTTTTATTCTGAGTCTGTGACCCCAGAGCTACTAAATAACAGGTCGATAATCAGAACAGGAAAAATGGAAAAGGGTGAAATAACCTATTAACAATGTGCACTCAAATTAGTCCTGCAAACCAAAGAAAAAGCAGTTAATTCACCTGGAATTCTTATTTTTCTTGAAGTCCTGCTCAGTAAGGAAGGCTAGAAACACTGGTGGGACTGGAGCAAGAATGTGACTGGTGGGGACCCGCCCAAGAGAGAAGACAAGAGGTTGTAGGGGGACGCGCAGAGGCTGCCTGAAGGATGGTCACACAGAAGTTTCACGTAAATCTTTCTGGGTTTTCTGCAACATATATGTTTGCTGAGAAGTTGAGCACACAGCTTGCTTTCTTGCTAGGCATCGAACCCAGTGAGGCTGCTGCAGTTTGCCCTGATCTGAGCTGAGCCAAAACAGGCTCCGCAATGCGTGCAGTCTGAGGGCGAGGTGCCAGCCTCCACTCCACAATCATATCTCCAGTACGGAAACACAAATGGCTTTCCCTCGTTAGCTTCTCCATTTGTTTTGAGTCTATTCTTATGATTTGAATAGCTATGGCTCTGGGGGAGACATTACTCCCGAGTGCAAAAGAGAATAATGGGACCAACCTGGTCAAAATAGGATCTAGTAACAGTAATCCCTTGCAAGGTGATTGCTGCTGATTGCACATGCAAGTTTTTGCTGGTAGACAGGGTAAGAAGGAAGAAGGAGAGTTTGTGTGTGCACGTTGTATCATAACAGAGGAAGTTTATGTTGTTCTTCATATTCTGCAAAGCCCCTTAAAGCAAGCCTGAAGTGCTAGTGCTGGTGTGTCTGCTGCCCAGCCAGGGGTTCCTCGGTGAAGCTCTGTCCCCACCCTGGGTGTCCACAGACCACTGGGTCTAGGTGGGCGTTTGGAAACTCCAAGGGTGCTTTTGTGCTCTGACTTTATAACTTACATTGGAAATCCTGATTGGTTTTTAAAGCAAAAACCCTACATAGATAAATATATTCTTCATGCATACACTTGAGGGCAGAGGAGAAAGAAAAATCTGAATTTGACATACAGTCATAATTGTAAAATCATTCTGAGGATGGAAGGCTAGGCAAAGCCACTGTTTTATTTGACTGAGTAAAGCTTTGAAAGGTAAATGGTACATGTATGGAACACTGACCTCTTTTCATACCGGTATTTTCTGCGTAAGTGCCATTTAAGTCAATGTAAAAATCCTTAAAAAGTGCAAATTCACTATTTAGGTTTCTTATGCACATGGCTCTATACATGGGATATATTTGTGTACTTAGATAGAAAGTCATATTTAAATAATTTATTTTAGGCTAGTCATTAACTATGCAAAACCCAATTCACGTTAAATATTCAGTTCTCTTCCTACAGAAATTCAGTGTCACTCTTGGTTTATTGCATATCAGTAAATTATGATTCAATTGTGCTCACTTTGGCAATAAAGGCTGGTTTTTAAGACAATGAGACTATACAGGTGCTTTCAGAATTATATTTAGTCAACAATTAGGTTGATGTTTGAGTCAGAAAGTGATTCAGCTCACTTTTTTAGAGTGTGGGTTCTGCATGGCCAGTGGGATACAAATCTTGCATATTTATTTCAAGAAGGAGTGCACAGATTGGAGATTCATGCGGCTGGAGCAGGACTGCTGGGTAAGAAAGGACTGTCCTATCCAGTATACCTGGCAGCTTTCCATAATCACTTTTCAAGGTAAGTTTGTGCAGCTACTGAAAATTTAATTACATCGAAAGTACCTTTTTGTGCTTCTGACTGCTCTTGACTTCCTAAAGATGGAGTCAGCACATACCATTTGTCCATATCCACCTGTCTCCAGACCAACATATTTCACTTCCTAAGACTTAATGCTGTATGAATGCCTCTTGTTTGCTGTAGGCAAGATTTAAAATGTTACTCCCACTCCCATCTTCTGCTTCTAAGGGCAAGAATTTAAAAACTACCTGTGCCCTACCTGGAAGTTTGCCTGGGCACTGGAGTTGGATTCAATAGCTACTCAAGGCTTCATGGATAACTGTCAATACATTCTGTGCAGTGTGTTGTTATTGGAAAGCCATATCTACTGTAGAATGTCAAAACTTGATGAAGTTGTGGGGAAGAAGGAAGTGATGTACCGTAAGTCATTCATACGGAATCATTTGCAGAGCATTTTATGTCAGCTATAACAGTCTAGCAGGTGCTAGCAGAATATAAAACTCCTGATCAGAAGAAGAGAACTCTTTAAGCGGCTTTTTGTTATTGCAATATCAGTTAAGGTTAAGTAAGTGTGTCTATTGTAGCCTCATAATTTTCACTTGATAATGAAAATCTTTAATCATTTAAGCTGAAATTTTCTGCCCTGTCTTTACCAGAACATGGTTTGTGTGGGGCTCTTTACTTTGGTCTTGTTATATAGAGGAATGTGTTTTCAACTGAACTGTTTCACTTCCAGTTTCTGAATTTGACAAGTTACAATTGGAAAGTCACCTTTAAAT